GTTTGATCTCTGTAGATCAATACATATCATACATAACTATGGAAATATAGGTTTGATACGTTCAAGCCCACCGTCTTCTCAGGTTTGCCCGGTATCATATTGATGTTTATGCATCATTCGATCTAGCAGATTCACTGCTTTCTGAAAATGAAAACCCCGCCGAGCAATTCTGCCTGTGCGAGGAGATATGGCTTGTTCGTATATATTGTGTCACTGTTGGTTAATATATACTTTATTATAACAGTATAAGGTTCACCATATTCAAGCTCATCTTGCTAAGAGGTATGCCTACAGATATAGTGATTTTTCTCACCGTTCGATATGGCGGAATATCTAGATTCAGAAAACATATAGTTCGGCTTACTTGAGGAGATAAAGCTACTTTCATAAATCTATCTCAGTTGGCGCAGGGGACACTATTCATTCAACAGCATTGTACCACTATAGGTCAATACTTAGGTTCATTATTATTACTATTTTATTATTGTTATTATTATTATTATTATTATTATTATTATTATTATTATTATTATCATCTTTATCATTATCATTGATGATGAATAGTGGTAATTAAACGTTGATTTGTATGCATATCTTTGTTGGCTACACAAATTTGCGTACTTCTTTCAGCATACATTGTTCTTTTACTGGTATATCGCCCATCTTATGTGTCATTTTTGTCTATTTACATAATTTTGCATGCCACGTAAAAAATCTGAATAAGGATGTTGATTTGTTCCAAAGCTAAAAATGAATTCATTATCTCGACCCGTTAGTTTTTGTGTTGGTTGTCCACTGCTTCTGCTTCATATGGGTTTGCTTAACTTGTCTTTGCTGATGAAATGTTGTTGTTGTTTCTCGAGTTTCAACGAAATATATATGTGTGTGTGTTCATACTTCGATCTTATCAATATGCTTGCAATGAAATATCTGATGAATGGACTCAGTAGCAATCTATACGCTATACCCATCCACTAGTATATTCACATTCGTAAGTGAATATGTCAGTCGTAATGTTTTATTTGTGAATATGTGAAGCATAATTTCTTATTTAATCACTTGAAGGAATTTAACCTGAGAAACTTTCCAATGAATTCATCAGAATCATCCGAAAATGCGATTGGTTTTGATGTTTAGCAGGGACTTGCAAACAATAATGTTTTCTGTTCTTTTATTTTTTCATCGCTTCGCTCCAAAGGTTTTATTCATTGTCATTTTCGCATTCAAAATGTTACGGTAATGTAGCGATAAAATATTCAGCTTTCGATGTTTGCAACGAGAGAGACCACCCCTGAAGGCTTTGAGGCAAAGAAAAACACAGAAAGAGGATCGAGGAGAATCGATTTCTTTCTTCTGCTGATTGATTCCTTCTTAAATCCCGTGCTGTTTCAATAAATTTTTCAGGAATGCCACATTACGTAAGTGCGGAATTGAGAAAACCACCAAAGTCTCTTTCTGATCCTCGCTTCTGTTTGTCTCAAGAACAGCAAATACTCTTTCCAGTTCATTTTTAATCTTTAAACAGACCGAAATCACGCTCGTCGAGCTCAACGATAGCATAGTTTTAAATCTAAGAATATCATTCGCTTCCATGATTCTATTTGTTCTCATGATCACGGTTATTTCATGCCTTGATCTGCAATTTGGGCATTATTTTGACTGTGAATGAGATGATTCGATCCATATTGTTCCAGAGAAGAGTGCGAAATGTGTTCCGCATGACAAAATTTTCATTTTCTGGCAGATCGATCCGTTGAGAGTGATCGTATACTTTGTTCAAATACTTTATTCAGCAACCTTTAGGGCTGATCATCTTGCGATTCGACTGAGTTAAACAGTTCATCAGCGGCTATCGTATCCCAAACAACACTAAACTTATCACCTCCGTTGAGGAGTGATTTTGACACGCCAACATTCAATGTTCAGGGCTTTTTATTATGCTCATATTCTTTATTCATCTTTAATCTTTGACCATGTGAGAGGCACTTCGTTTAGATGGCTAAACATAGAGATAGAAATACGTTCATGTAGTGCAGTGATTTATGTGGTATGTTTACGTGAGTACATCAAACATTTTATGCAATTGTTTTCAAGGAGCAGACGACAATTGCTCGCATACGGTATCTAGCGCAGAAAATGCAGCAGACAAGTGTGTATCGTATTCTCGAAGCAGTTATCATCCCACAACATTCTCATCATGGAGTTGCGTATCGACCTCTACAATTCATGCTCGCATGTTTCCTTCCATTCTCTTCGAATAGTCGAAACTTGATCATCGAATTCTGCTCTATAAACAACAATTATATATTTTCAGTGAATACCATTTACAAAACTCCTAATCTCAAGCATTTATTAGTGATACAACAGCATCTTCGAGCCCAATCCTATTCCCAAACAATAAGTGATGTACTCGGTATCAGTTCACCTCTTCATTATCCTCACTCAATTGCCATATCTACGAATAATAATATTGATCCACTGGATTAATGTTACCAACGAATGAGAACTACTCCAGTTAATGCTCAATCAGTATTCCCAATCAACTGCAAACAATTTCAATTCTGCTGTAAGTAATGCTGCTTCATCGGTACAGTACTCGCCACTGGCACAAGTGATTGATAAAGTCATTGAGATAGAGTCACTATCCACAACCGAACGATAACAATACTCAACTGTTTACTGACCCAATACTTTCCATGCAACGATCAACTTCAGTAGTACTTTTATCTGAATGCCCTCAGTAATAGTAACGAGTTGTTCATCGGTCGACTGCTTCAACATTTACAACTGAGAAATAACAATAGTGCAAGCGATAACAGTCGTGCAAATAACCATCAAATGGTAGCCACTTTAATCATATCTGTTTGGCACTATTCATTGCTCAGAAATAACAAAACAGAGGTATTTTCACGTAACGTTTCCATCAGCGTCTTTTAGCCAAGGTATTGCTTAAGCTTTCTATTTTCATCATTTAATTTGTGCGTTTTTGTTCAATGAAATGTCAGAGTTCAGATGAAGTTTTGTCAGTATTTTCTTAGTTGGGATCAATGACTGTTGATTGGCCATTTCGCTCACTTGAAACCCAACAGTGCGAGAGCATTTTCATTGACCGTGTAGAGTTAGCATCAGTGATGGAAGATTTTCGAAGGAAAGGTGCTCGTTATTGATTGCTCACGGTGCGAGCAGGAATTTTTGAGCTGTTCGTAAATTAGTCTGTCGCATTATTTGTTTTTTCATTACAGTCAGTGTTCGCCTCTTTCGAAAATGTAGCCTTGCTAGTGTAGGATATTTCAGAACATTTCACTGATATTTTACTTTATTCAATAGCTTAGCAAATTTGCAGAGTGATCCAAACAATCAAAATATTAGATTGATGCGCAACTATAAATCAATCGTGATGTGGAATACGATCGACATATTCTCAATCAGATTTTGAAAATCACCACCCATCCGTCCAACAGTCTTCCTGCAATGTTCAGGATCCGTCGTCTAAAAATCCATCTCATGCGCAAAAGTGTAAAGTTCGTTGACTTACCCGCAGATAATCCTTCCAAAACAATGTTCATATCCAAATTTTCATCACTAATCTACTCCATAAACCGTATCTGCCATGCATTTTGTTCTCTTTCTGTTCTTAATCCATTCGTGCAAATCAAATCGTCCACCATTACATATTCGCCTTTGTGTTAATGCATTCGGTAACATTAATAAGCATGAGTGTTGGCATTAGTTTTTTACTGATCGAGTGAATTTCTTTAAACGGCTCGCCTTTATCTGTTAATGTTGTGATGTTAACTCATTACAGTACGCCTTATATTACACTTGTCATGTTTTTAAAAGCATTGCTACAGACAGTTGTTATTGCTGTTACTCATACTGTTACTGTAGGTGATTGCCAATGATACTGCTTCGCATCACTTTTGTTTTATGCTTTAATCGTTCAATGTTTCAGTCGTGCAAATCATTCTAGTCATTCCATTTAACACCTTTCACCGTTCGTATGCATACTTCCCCATAGGCTTCCACATCACAATCTAATGCACGCCTCTAATTGCGAGTAATTTCTTCGTCGCGTAGCCACAAAACGAAGTTGCAATATCAAAATTCCAATACAGAATTCTACATCCTTCGAAGGCGGAGTAGGCTCACCTCATGCATGAACCATGCATCAGATATTAACGTCATTATCCAGGAAGAATTGTTCACTTGCTTTACGGTTATGATCATTAGTCGCATTATCTTAGTTAAACGTTAACTCGTGACAAAGCTCGTCGGGTTAATATATTGCTATCTGTTACGCTCTCTCTATCGAGCACATACCATAGGAAAGTTCGCCACTCCATTCAGTCAGCTTTTCGACGGAGTGCATCGTATAAACAGCGACAGTTGCTTATTTCATTTGCTACTACAAAATATTTCAAGGATCCTCGCTGGTTCCCGTCCATGTGAGAAAGTGATTGTTGAAATAGGTGTTCATCGCCATTCTACAGTTTCTGAAGAATGTTTCGATTCTGTGTTGCTGTTTTCGGATTGGACGGGTGAATGTGCCAAAACGGTATGTTGCAAGTGATCGATTTCGAGTTTTTTCGATGGGCTATAGTTTATGCCTGGTGCGAAAGTGCGAGGGTGAAAACCCCGTATTTTTACTTTTTTAAAGAGTTGCGTTATCGGTAGGTAAGACGCTGCCCCTAAACCCGCTGTAAGGCACGTAGGATCTGATATGAAATAGCCGGCGTTGACCACTTGCGTCGAAACCGTGCAAAACGAGACACGCATCAAATGGGGTTGATGCGTCACGTGACGAGACAATAGGCGTAATGCGTTTGCATTATTAATGAATTTCTCAGCGAAATTGCGGTGCGCTTGTGTGAGTAAGTTGAAGTGCATAAGACTGAGATTGAGTTCGTAATTAGAAGTGGGAACAGACCGGTGATCCCTGAACGTGTGATTTCTTCGTGAACTTACATTGGTTCTTAAAGTGTACCAAATCGTTTACGAACATGTCTATGGGGGGTAGTGAAACAATGGATGAAGAAGAAGCGTTTATGGTTTCGGATGCGGATGATTCATCGACATATTCGGATGATGATGGCATTGTGATGGATCCACCCGTCATCAACACCGATCACCGCTATGATAATTGTGCTGACTGTCAGGTTGTTGTTCAATTTCGAGATTGTGCAGTTGGTAATTTGAACGATCATAACTCATATATGCATGACACAGGTGTTGGAAGCAGAGCAAGTGGCTAACGAAATGAATGTCATAATGGAAGATGTGGCTGCAATCGTACGTTTACCTCCAACGGTGTGTAGATTGCTATTGCATCACTATAAGTGGAACAAGGAAAGTCTTCTAGAAAGGTAAGTACAAAGTTGAATCGATTACTTCTATGACAGAGGTTTGATTATGAATTGTTGTGCATGATGAAATGACGGTTCAAGTTCAATCATTCATCAAGTTTATAACAGTGGTATTCAGGTTTTACGAATCTTCTGATCCGGATGCATTTTTCGCAGATGCCAATATAGTGTCTCCTTTTAAATCTTGTCGACGTACGGATAACACACATGAGGTTTTTGACACATGTTCTATTTGTTGCAATCGGGCCATCCTTACTGGTTTGTTGTGTGGCCATTGCTTCTGCTACCCGTGCTGGGATTCGTATCTCTCCACCAAGGCTGGTTTCTTTTCGAATTGAATTTAACAAGTGAACATTAACCTTGCAATGATTAACGGCTCATTCAATTAAGATAATGGAAGAAGGTCGAGCATATGTGGCGTGCCCTCAGCTAGATTGTCCCATTGTAGTAAACGACGAGAAAACACTGGCACTGATCAAGAACGAAACGGTTAAGAAGCGTTATCGTCATCTTATCATCAACAGTTTTGTGGAGGTACATTTATTCAGCAGCATCAGTATGGTTGGTTCAAGTTAGTGATATGAGGTATATTTAAGTGCAACAGACTGTTGCGTTGGTGTCCAGCCGTGGATTGCGGTCGTGTGATCAAGGTGACGCATTCAGAAGCACGTCCAGTGATGTGTAAATGCAAAACAGTGTTCTGCTTTGCTTGTGGTCATGAATGGCATGAACCCGTCAACTGTAGACTGCTAAAACTTTGGCTCAAGAAGTGCAGTGATGACAGTGAAACAAGCAACTGGATCTCTGCTAACACCAAAGAATGTCCTAGGTGCCAGGTGTGTAAATGTATCATTTTGTTATGCTTAAATTGCATTTCTTTATTGTTGTTAATATATCGTTTTCAAATGAATGAGTATTCATTGATGCGTAGGTAACAATCGAAAAGGATGGTGGCTGCAATCATATGACATGCAAAAATGCGGCATGTAAAATGGAATTCTGTTGGATGTGTCTGGGACCGTGGGAGCCGCATGGTAGTTCATGGTATTCATGTAATCGCTTCGATGATACTGTTGCCAAACAAGCTCGTGATGCACAAGAGCGAAGCCGTGCAGCGTTGCAAAGATACCTCCATTATTACAATCGTTTCATGAATCATCAACAAAGTCTCAAACTCGAAAGCAAAGTTGATCTTACCTTTCTTCTCGTTTTTTAATTTCGTTGTATCATGAAAATCAAGAACGGTTTCTGCAGTTGAGTTGATTGATATTGAGCATTCAGATGATTGTTTTTGCAATCAACCCTTGATAACTATGATATAATTACAATATTCAGTTGTATGCAACAGTGAAAAATAAAATGGAATTAATGCAACAGTCCAATATGTCTTGGATTGAAGTGCAGTTCCTAAAGAAAGCAGTGGATGTGCTCTCTGAGTGTCGTCGTACACTTATGTACACCTATGCGTTTGCGTTCTACCTGCAAAAAGATAATCAATCGGTGATTTTCGAAGACAATCAACGTGATCTAGAATTGGCTACCGAACAACTCTCAGAATTTCTCGAAAGGGATCTCAATCAAGAAAATTTGGTCACACTCAAACAAAAGGTTGTTGTGTCATACTTTAAAATGACCAGTATTTCCTGCTCGTTTATAACTGAACGCCACTCAAAAATCAGTCTGTTGTTGATCAGCTATGAATGTGACACTTCTCATTTACAGGTACAAGATAAATATCGTTATGTGGATCAGCGTCGTAACACGTTATTAAAGCATTGCGCAGAGGGTGTTGAGCGTGATTTCTGGAGGTTCACTCAGTAAGAGAAGAATATTATCGAAGTTACCAGCACACCGATTGGTTGATTAATTGATAACGAAACTACTCCATATTAATATTCTCTTTCTGTTCTCGATCACTGCTTACTCACCTATCTTTCGTCAGTTCCTTCAACAGATCGATCAGAATTGTGGTCAAAGTGAAGTTACGTGCAAATACTTGACTAATACTTGTACTAGTCACACACACCATCAGACTCTACTCTCATCTTTATAAATTCAGTTTTCTTTCTTCACTACGGGTTTTTTTGTCGATCTCCGTGAGAAAAAAGGGGACGTGTTGAATTGACTGATCATTCTTCTACAAACTCATGGAGCAGTCTGTTGTTGCACTCACTGATATCACTCATTTTGTTCACTACTTCCATCAGCCAAAAAATTCAAAGCCGAAAAAGCGTGGAAGTTGTAAGGGTTCACGGCATGTAAATTCATCGTAATTTTTTAAATTTCTGCTCTGTATGTATTCTTTTCAAGATGATGTGATTCTTACTTTATTCCGGTATTTCTATCTTCATAATTGGCGATAGAATTTTGTTTATTGCCTTGCTCACTGAGCGGATTCTTATTGCATACATTAACGGTCACATGAAAGATTGAAATTGGAATGAAAAGTAAAATTCTGGAGAATTATTGAAGTGGTTTTCATTCGGCGTGTGGAATGGTGCATTCGATTGGTTTGCTGAAGTGAGTAAGAGGAGTGTGGCATTTTCGTAACTGTTGGTTCTGGTCAAACTTTCATATTTCAGCAAGAGCGTGGGTGACTGTCATGTAATGTTGTCTCGGATAAGACATACACACATACATATAAATAAATGAGTATGTATATTTATAAATATGCCTTGTACAATGATTCATAAATTTATGTGAACATGATCGACTGTATACATGTTTATTTGTGTGATGCTTCTGTTTCATTCAAGGTGTTCGTTCATCGTTCATAACCATGTTCCATAAAGCATCATACTTCAATTTACAACTTATTCATTGTTTGGTACGGTTCCGTTCTCATCATATTTCTATCCAAATCATGGATGCACCTTTCTATTCGCCGCAACAAACGTGTTTTGTTGGCGATAATGATAAATTCGTTCTGTCGCAAACGTGCTAAGAAGAGATCCACGGCAAACTGTAAATCACTGCCATGATTTCGTCAACTCTTACAATTAGATCAAGTCAGAGCATGAACTGTCTGTGAAAAAAAATTTCGCTGGCTCACATAATCTTTATGAAACTCCCAAGCTTCTCTGTAACGTCGGTACCCACCATCATTTGCACGAAATTCCCTTCAGTCGCTTCGCCACTTTTGTTTAGCGAAACCCGCTGCCGCCTTCAATGAAAAACGTGTGGCTGCAGGCTGCAATCTTGCAGCTGAACAATTCAGTATTCGTTCGGTTGCCAGCAGATAAAGTAGAAATATCCAAGCTCGCATGCCTGTATATCTGAGATATGCAGGCATGCGAGGGCCAATACGACAAGTCTGCAATTATTCATCTCTCGAACACTGTCACCTTCCATGCGGTTTTCCTTTAAACGTGAGGGGTGCGCAGATGATGAGAAGCGTTGACGAAAAGGTGGCGAAACGACTCAAAAAAGATTCCGTCAGAAGATGCAATTAACAATAGAAGCTTGTGATGTGATGATTGAGAACAAGCTTCAAGTCGAATGATTACAGCTGATTGGGGTAATGTTCTGACCAGTGAATGTATAAATTGGTGGTTTTAGGATTGCTTCACATAGACAGGTGTAACATTGTTCCCAGATCGTTCATGAGAATATCAGTACAAAAGGTTTGACTGAACTGATGAATCTAGAGTAGTGAGTTCTTCATTATGTCAAGTTATTTGATAAGAAACGCTCAACAGTCGCAACCACAGCCTTCGCCCACGTCTTCTCAGCTGCGCTTCGCCGATCAGCCATCAACGAACAATATGAACGGTGAGTGAGTGTATTTTGACCCGAATTCTTTCCAGTGGTCATTCGCTCGAACCGATTTTCTTTCGATTGATGATCATTACAGCCTCACCGTTCGGAGCAATCTCATCAGGCGGAGCACCAACTACATGGAATACGGATTTATATCGAGACTATGCCGCATCTTCGCATCCATTTGGTAGTGGTTCATCTGGTTTTCCGTCCGCTTCAACGTCTGAAGCGTTCGAATACTCCACAGCAGGCAGCAAACCACAAGACCCAGTTGCAAGTGCATTTATCGGACTCTCTGAGTAAAAATCTATTCAATCTTTATTTATCCCTCTACAAATCTGATTATCTGTTGAACGACGATCCACATATAACGCCGACAATTGTTCTTTTGCTGAAAATATATTTTAGTGTAACGACCAAAATGCTCATAACGCATCCGTGCACTGTACTGCGTCGTCAGTGTCAAGTACACCAATTTGCGCGTTGTCTTCATCTTACGCCGTTCACATTTGCTCCAGTCATATGCAATGTTGTCACGGGTGAAGTCAGTATTTCTTGAGTATTACTTCGTTTCGCTTTTCTTTTTCATGATGGTAGCACATCTTTTGTGCAAAATCAGAAAGAAACTGCTCAGCGTTATGCATGTGTCATATCCGAGTTATATTTCACGCAGTAATAAACAATTTAAGGGCATGCTAACTCTGTGGAAAGGTGCCATAGGATGTGGCGTGCTATGGGCAATGTCTGCGGCCACTGAAATTCTTATTGCTGACGTTTTTGGATTGCCAAGGTGACTACTGAGATTTTGTTTGTTCGTTTTATTCAAAAAAATACTCTCAAGGGAAACGATTAAATTAAAAGATGTTTCAGGACTGTAGTTCAGTATGGAAGTACCGAAAAATTTTGGAGACACGTTTCACTGAAAGCGTCAGTTAATTTTTAATCTATCATTCACGAAACTGTTAATCGTTTATTGAAGTACCTTTTCAATTCAATGAAATCCAGTGTGTGATAAATGCGTTTTCAGTGGTACGTATTTCGCGATGACACCCTTTTTTGTTTCATCTTTCATCGAAACAGTCAGAGTAAGTTATTCTTTCAGTCTCAATTGCTCTTCTGTTTTTTTTGATGATGATCACGTAATGAAGGGAGTTGATAATCATACAATGAAGTGATGTAATTTTTTAAAGTTTTAATTGAGGGAAGGATAATGTGTATAAATGTGTACAAGTAAGAATGTGTATAAACTGATTGAAGAGCGAAGATGGTCTTGGCGGCGATGATATTCGTGTAATGGATGTTATAACGAATGCAATCAATAGGCTGCGATTTGATCTGTTTGGTCCACGAGATAACAGTAAACGCTTCGCGTTGATGCATTTGGCTGTACCCACAGTTATTTATCACACGTGCCATTATCTGATTACAAATGTCACTTACGACTGGATCTATTTGATGGCTCGTCGCTACGTGGTTGGTGCATTATTGTTGATCACTTTCAGTGGCTTTATTTGTTGAAGGTTACTATCTTATAGAATCGAAAAGCATCAAACGAACGCACAGCATTCCATCAATACCTGCCGCACATGTTTGCCACAATGACTTCCCAAGTGATCGCTGATCTTTTGTGCTATCCATTCGAAACGGTTCTTCATCGCTTATATATCCAAGGTTGTTTCAGAAGTGATCTTAAGAAGTTTATCATCGTAATGCAAGCGAGTTCATGTTCCTCTTCAAATGCATTACTTACTCAGTTATATAAAATTGTATACAGGTACACGTACGCTAATCGATAATCTGGATAATGGTACATCAGCGATCTCGATCACAGCTAAATATTCAGGTTTCTTCGATTGTACACGAAGCATTGTGAATCGTGAAGGTTTATGGGCACTCTACAGTGTACGTTTTTTTGTTTTCATTCAATAAAAATCACGAAACAAAATGAATACTGAAAATGATTCAGGGAGTTGGTGCATTGGCCATACAGTATATGTTACATTTTTCGTTTCTTCGGTTACTGCGTTGGTTATTCGATTATGGAACGCATGCGTTGAGTGCGTCGACCAGAGTGAATATCAATGAGCCGTCGTCATTTGTGCAAACATCAGTGCCAAGTAGTGGTTATGCCAATATTTCAAAACAACCATCTCCCACGGGTGCTTTACCATCGTCCATCTCGATGCCTTCAACACAATCACCCAAACCATCTCCGTTTGTCATTCAACTGTTTCTTTTTTTTGTTGTTTGTTTTCACTTTGAAAACCTCGAAATGTTCACTAATATATTCGCACATAACAAACACATAATGTGCCTAGCATGTCAATTTCATGTTTATTTGGTATAAGTTCAACGGTGTGGGCCATTTCGTTCTATATGTGAAGTGTTGAGCGCAGATTCGCAAGTTTTTAAAGCACTTTTCGTACAAAATGAATGTGACATTTTAATCTGTTAGAAAGTGATCGCATAATCTTCTGATCGTACGTTCGATGTCGTGAAATGTTATTATTAGAGACAAATTTGTGCGATTCCTGTTAAAAGATGATTATTTAGCGTTACATGCACAGTTTAGGTACCCGACATTCGGTCAGACAGCCGCTTCAGCTTTCGGACGTTCCTCTCCGCCATTGATTGGATCACCGCCATCAGCAAGCGCTCTTGCCGACTATCCGTTTGGACCCTTATTGATGCCAGGTGATCAAGCTGTGAGCAATCCGGACGATATCTTTTCGAGTATGCATGTCAAAAGAGAGATTTGATTGTCAGAGCCGTTATGGGATTGGCGGTTATGCGTCGAGTATTTCACACAAAATATTTCATCAATTCAACTGAAACAGTGCTTTTGGGTTGCTGCTTCGCTTGGTGTTTGGTTTTGTTTTAAACAAGAAAGATAAGTGTACCGTTAGATGAATACATTAAATTTATTAGTGTTGCATGTGCACATATGAAGTAGTGTGTCGTTGTTGTTCTTGAATAGTCAAAATTGCTGCTTAATTGGTTTCCATTCAACATTCTCACAGCAAATTTGTAAATTGTAGCCATTTGTTTGGATTCGGTTGAGCATTGTGTGTGGTGATCATAATTGATTTATTTCAAGTCATTCTCTCTCCTGTTTATATCAGAAAATAAAATCATATTGCCCTCAGAAACGATACGATCGATTGTTGATGTATGAATGAAGAGCAGTTAATAGAAATATTAAGCGGCGCATACATAAATGTTTCAAAAGATTGATTTATATGATCTCATCACTTTTCATTCCACATATAAATAAGTAACAACAACAAAAAGAGTGGTTGATCACAAATAAAAATTTTCAAATCTCACCCCCTAAACTCCATTAACACTCCAGCTTCTCGATAGAAAAGAGAAGATAGTAACCAGTTGAGTGAAACAAAAACAACTCAGATACATAACTTAATTCGCAAATTTCACGAAGAACCCATCAAATCAATAAGCGGAATATGACGACAGACGAAAAACCAAGGTAAAGTGATCCCGTTGGTATAGGGAGTTTCAAATGGATCCACTGAAACTGTGTGAACCGATGTGAAAGCAAATTATTTTCATGTTTCTAGAGAAACGAAACGAACAGTATAAAATCACGTTCAATGACTGACGATAAAGTGAAGTCGGTGTTTATTTTCCAGCAGTCGCCTCGGCAGCCCTTCTTAATGCAGCGCGTTTGCCGACCATAGCCGTAAAGCCACTCTTAATGGCAGCCACAGAACATCGACTTCCACAAGTGTGACATTGCAAAAAGAATAAACGTGTGTCTTTCGTTAGTTCGGTTTCTGATGAACGACACGTATGGCACGTCACGTATTCCTCTACAATTTCAACCAGCATTCAGTAAATCATCACATAAGTATTTACGGTTTGACAAGCATTCTAAGCAAGACATATCTTTTCAAACACATCGCAACTTACTGATATATTTCCTAAGCACGGTTTCGAAATGTTTTTGTTGAAAACGACCTTTCACAATGAGACAACTATTCGCATCGACCGAACCTCTGAAACAATTTTCGATCAAGCATTTAAAAAACGAGCAAACATTCCATATAGGCCGCTGGCAAAAGATTAAAAAAACGATAAAACTGAACGATCAAATTAAAATGAAGGAAAGTCCGATCATCCCCTCAACGTTCCCACATTAAACTCGAACTAAACAAAAACGAATCAATTGACACTTACGTTGTACCCAACTCGGCCATCAAGAACTGCAGCACATGCTTCTGTTGCCTCTTCAATAAACGACAAATCTCAGCGAAGTTCGCGAATGCGGTCTTCTTACTTCCAGCTCGTGCTACCTACACAAACAATAATTAACCGAATCGTTATTGATGAGCATGTGCAAATGATCAACTTACTGACTAACCTGTGGAGGTTTCATAATGAATTTTTTCTTTTCTCCAGCTGCAAATTCCGGATTTCTTTCTCTCATGATACCGAAAACCATATCGATCAGTTCTTCGTAAGTGTAATCTGGCCATGCGCTGGATGCATCAATCAGATTCATCATACCAATACCTTCCGCATAAGGCGCTGGTTCTTGTGCCTTTAAAGTATACATCCAGTAGTCGATCGCAAATCAAGCTTCGTGAAAAATTAGAAAATATTTTAGAGGATGGAATTACCTTTGGTGCATCATCAAGAACGGGAACTTTTGGCGCTTTCTTTTTCTTTTTTGGACCAAGAATCAACTCTTCTGCAAAGAACATATATTACTGGACTGCTTCATTGCGGAATTCAGAGTAACTTCGATGCACTTCAAAGTGTTGATTTTTCAGCCAAATGCCTCTCTATTTCATACGTCACCATGTCATGCCGAAACTGATAAGCTCACGAGAAACTCACGGATGAAGTTAACTGACCTGTTTCAGGAGCAGGGGCATTCCCATCTGCATCAGATGGAGGAATCACATCATCGATTTTGATCGGTTTCTTCGCCTTTTTCTTCTTGCCAGTCAAATTGAGCTCCTGTAAACTTTCAGAACACTGAAACAATCTTTTTTTTGTTCCACAATTGATATAAACTGGCAGTAATGAACTGCGCAATGAACACAAAGCTCAACGCAAACACAAAGCAGCAAAACAATTACCAAATCATCGTCCGCCATTCTTTAGATCTTGTTCCACGAACGTAATCCTCTACTGTTCGTTAATCAGCTGCAATTATGTTCATAAACTTTATGCGGTCAAAACTACACTGATCAGACACCACAACGTTGTCGATTAAATTCCTCACTTCTCATTCACATATGCAACTCGAAGCACTCGACAATAATGTGCTGAAAATCTGGAATCATCAACGAAATGATTGCGTATTGAGTGGCTTTAAAATCGCTCGTTCACAAAAAAAACTATTCGCTCCATTCACGTTATGTTGTTTGTGCGCATGTTAATTCCATTGGATTGCTAGTAAATAGAAGGATTAGTTATCCAAGAGAATACGTGAATATGATGAAATAGATCGAATTTGTTCTCAGATCTATGGTCAGGTTTGGGTTTCTTTCTGAACAAAAAAAAATTGTTCACATCTGGACAAGAGAAAAGCTTCAAGATGAAGTTGAAGTTAATCTCATAAGCTGACGGGAAATCTAGGCCGTGTTCATTAAGGATTTTAAACAATGGACAGGGGACTCAAATTGATTTTTCCCTTTTCCTCAGGTGCATGCTCACGGTGATATTTCAAAGAAATCACATTGGTTCTCTTGCGATGTGAGCTTCGCACTTTTGCTGATGTCAATTTCAGAAAACATAATGATGATAACAATAATAATAATAATAATGCTGAAAATGATAATAATAGTATAATAAGAATAAACAATATCGATAATGATAATGGAAGCAGTAAGAACACAGTCAGATAACCAGATTGTTTACGACCGTTTCGGCACTAACGCCACCATCAGTTTATTACTGGTGTACTGTTCAATTGTAAATAAACTGTTTATCTTGGAATGAATAGTAGGGTTCGATTTCGCAGACATAATAGGTTTGAGTGAAACTTGCTTGAGTGGAATAATTCCATACTACCCATTGTCTTTTGCGTTCACAATTCAGTTTTCTGTTTCAATAGAACAGCTGCGACAAAAGGAGGAGGCCTGGCTATGTTACGAAAAAGCTATGATCTCTTTGGTGTGGTTTTAACTAGTGTTGGGAAGCACAAGATTTTTGCGGGAGGCTCCTCAACAGGCAAAAATTGAGCACCGGTCGGTTGTCGATTGGTAGTGATTGCGGTTCGGTTTGCCGAGGTCCCCGACCGAATAAGTCTTTGCAGTTGCTGTCGAATGCCCCCGAAAGTGGGCCGGCCCCATTCCATTTCGGTCAGTGGCAAGGAAATTTGTGGCTCGCTTACCACCGACCGAACAAGCCTTTTCGATTGCGGTTGGAAGCCGTGACTGATTTTCGGTGGGCTCCGATTTTTTCAGTAATATTTCTCGACACTGAATAGGCGTTTTCGTTTGCGGTCGAGAGCCCCCCCCCCCCACCCCGAAAACCGAGGTCCACCAGATTTCGTGGCCCCCGACCCAACTCTAGTTTTAACGGCATCACTCGACTTCGGATGTGAATTAATTTCTATCATTTGAATTTGCTTACAACTTCAGATATGTTGTGGCATACTCTCGATCAGAGTATACGATTCATGAAATGAAGATTTTCTTCGAACATTTATGCTCTGTGACAGAGGCAATGCGAAATCTCAACCTTCTGTCAACAATGACCAATAATAAAGCACTATTTCTTTTTAGCACCCTTTATTGATCTTTATAGGTGAGCTAACTCGGTGAATAACCCCTTAGCTGTGTTGATTAGGACGCACCTACAAATGATGGGACAAGTGATCCATTTTTAAATCACGACAAACGCACCAGAATAATTCTTTTCTGAGAACTTCCTCCGAGTAACCCCTCCCCCCCCCCTCTCCCTTATCCCTGCGAAACTCTTTCCTTTCGCAGAATTTTCTGCTGCACATGGAACACTTCCAACTCTTGAGCAACCCCCATTATCTTCCAATGAAACGCGCTCTACAGTATCATCCTCTCGTCTCATGCCAAAACCATTTCGTTCCTCTGTAACTCCTCTATCTCCTTAGGCTCCCTTTTTTTGATTGCGCCTCACCATTCCAAATCGTCCGTTTTCTCGAGGAGATGAATCGATTATGGACAAAAGTGTTCCAGTGTGGAAGGAAGTCTTCGAAAGAGGAATGGATAGGATGAACATGACTTGGGACAGTTATGATCACACCGAGAAACACTATGTAAGCAATAAGCGATTTGGTACACCGCTAAGAAAAATGGTCAGCTCTCTTGAATGAGATTTGTGAAGGAAAAGTTCGCTATTTACAAACGATTGTTTTAAAACTGTTGTATAATATGAATGAATCGACAAATCAACACCCGTTTACCTATCGTGGTTCCAATTGCAACGAATAGTCAGTGCAGTAAGCATGGCAGATAACATCGAGAAACGATATCCAATTCAATTGAATAAGTGTGTTTTTTTTTTTTTTTTTTGCAAAATTCATTTCACATGAAAATCTTTTGAAAAGATTTCGAACAGTATTTTTTATTGGCAAATAAGTGTCAATCAATGCAAAATGAACCGAAGCGATGCAATATTATGAACGAATAATGAATCATCAATCGTATAAATAACATCAGTTCATGAATTCATCACGAATATCTTTATTGTTAATGAGTGGCCGCTTTGTCCATAAATGTTGCCAATTTGATGTCGCGTTCTGAAAGACCATTCACATCATGACTGCTTAAGGTAACGTCAACCTGAAAATAAAGTGGCGGTGTTGAGAAACATGATTACATATGTAATACGGACGAATGAGTATCAGATCAAATTGACGGCATATCATTAACGATTTCACACCTTGTTGTAAACATTGAACCATTCCGGATGATGATCCAACTTTTCAGATTGTAGTCCTACACGAACCATAAAACCCAATGCCTACAAACAATGTGCAGTATCAGGTTTTGGATTAATCTGCAAAACAATCGTATTCGGTGAAGAAACACATTCTTTCGTTTAGATACATATCTACACATTGATCTGTATGGAAAGCTGATCGAACTTCTGAACGTGTAATGCATTCGGTAAGATTAGAACGGTTCAATGCCAAAATTCAAACAAATCAACTGATGGAAGTTAACAAATAAAAGAACCATCTCATACCTCATTAAAGTTTTTGAAAAGAAATTGTTTTTTAATAGCATCACGACCCTCAACCATTGACCAACCACTTGAAAGTAACGGCTCTAATAATTGCTTTCTTTGAGTTGCATCCAAACTCTGCATAATCAATCACGGGGAGTATAGTAAGAATTGCCTCTCAAATGAACAATTAAGAATTGAGTAAGCAACATAAAATTCATACCATCTTCGGTGATTTAATGAACGAATATGCTTTGATGTTTGATAGAACAGGTCTTGACAAACATATAAGGCGTTCAAGTGCGTTATGTTGCATAACCATTGAGAGACGCTCTTGTGAAAAGATGCATACACAATTTTTCAAACACACTGTTCTCTCAATAGAGGCTAGAATATGAAACAAATAACACCATATCAATGATTCCTAGGTGCACGCAGTTTCATTGGTTATGGTCAATAACATCGAACATCAACAACCTACCCGTTCTAATCCTATCAAACTCTCTTATTATACCATTATCACACCTCATTGATGTGGTGAATAACCCACTTATCGCCTTCAAAGAATTAAAAAATATTTTACTTCATTTCATTTCGCAATTTCTTACTCTCCAACGATTCACATGAATTTTTATGATGATTAATCATTATCATATATCAATTAATCATATATCAAGCAACGCTTGACTAGTAACGCTGAAAGATTTAAGCCCAACAAATAATAAGATATTTGTGAGGACACGCGAAATTAACGGTTGAAATATCGGAGATGGCAACCATATGTTTGATACTCATTCCATATTAGAATACTGACAGATGATCGGATGCAGGTACGAAAGACTGATTGCAATATTATGAATATTCCTTTATTCATTTACAGTAAATGTTTTCGAATCAATGCAGATATAACACATATGTGAATTCACTGATTTATACAAGCGATTGAGCGTAAGTGATGTGGAATTAATGAACAACACCTATAATGATTCACTTAACAATAAAAATTAGACGTTCTGAGTTGCGATCGTTGGGTGAATGAATCATTTCTTGAGTGCAGTAACATCGGCAACATTTTTACTCTCTTCTGAAACGGATGTGAGCGTGGCTGGAGTTCTAGGCGCTTTTGAGAGCTGAAACAAATACACATGATTAGATGAAATGCACGCACGTGTTGTTTTAATGAAATGCCATACCTGAGCATTAATATCGATACCAACTTCGTCAAGAACCTCGTCAATAATTGCTTGTTCTTCTGCTTCATCGCCAGATTCGTCTAGCATTTCATCTAGTTTTTCGGTGATCATCTGTAACAACAGAAAATGAGATGTGTCAAATGAAAGGTCATTGAATGAATCGTTAACAACAACTAATCACATTCATACCTCATCACAGACACCAAAGCGTCCTTGCGCAGCTGCGAGATCGCGCACATCTTTCGTGATTTTATCGACAGGCATTTGCTTCTCCATAACTTTCATTGTTTCAGCGCTTTTGCCAACTACATCGGCCACCTTTGCCATACTTTGCAAATGCCTTCAAAAAGGCATTTCTGTGAACTGAACAAGTGAACACAACAAGGCTATTATACAAACATCAACGAAAACACTCTAAACTACCTATTCTTTGCGTCAATCGCATTCACTTTTGCACTGATATTGATACTCTTCTCTTTCTGTTTACGAAGCAGAACAATTTGTTTAGCAAGTATAGCGCATGCATCTCGTTTACCCAACTTGGCCAGTTTCTTTATTTCTAACTCCTGAACAAAAATTCATGCTCATCTGTTACAAATCAACAACTCAATTTATAATTCATTTTTACGGCAGTAATATTCCATTCGTATTTACCAACCAACCATAAACGCACCAATTCCTTCTCTTTTCTTTCCAGTGCTCTTCGATCACTGTCCAATTCACGATTCGTTTGCCTTACGGCACGTTCGGTTGCACGCCTCTCCTCTAAAATCGAGTAATACTGAACAAAATTCACACAGCTAGCAATTCTTCGGTCTAAAATTCTCTACTTCCAAACAACGTAAGACTATCAGCGGTTATACATTGACTACCATTGTACCTTTGGGGTCTGTTTTCTTCTTGAACCACGACATTCGTTCAAATTCGATTCCACTGGTGCTCACTCTGCTGCTGCTCTATCGAAAACACCGTTGATGAATTCAGTTAATTCACCTCAATTCATTATTCACCATCAATTCGATTGCCCTTCATAGTTGTTGAACTCACCAACACACATTCTCTTAGCCAACAATTATTATCAATAACATTAGCAACACACCATATAACACCTAGCCGTCTGTCCAACAGCTGTATTTAATCACTCCATAGAGCTCGACAACTCTTGCACGAAAACCACTCAAATTTTCATGAACAATTGCAAATCAACATAAAACAAATATTCATTCAATTTAAAAAAATATAGAAGTATATATATATAATATATGTTATATATATTATAATATATATATATATTAGATATTACATATAATATCTATATACTGATATATTGACGTGCAGATTGGAATTGATATCGAAGAATCTCTCGAATGCTTTATCATAAAAACACAGTTTACTGTTTTACGTTGATATAAAACAATAATCACCATGAAAGTATTTATATGAATAAAATGAATAGTAATCAGTCATAATCAAGCGCATAATATTAATAGTAATAACCAATCTCATGTCTGTCATTCACTGCTACAGTCCAGTCCACAGTCCATTTATTTTCATCCATAAAAGCAAATACCGTTAACATTAAATCAGAACACACCACTCAAGCAAACTTTCAGCAATTACGGCCATGAATTGTAAGTCAACGTAAGCTTCGTTTATGATTTTTCCACCCGACTAACAGCTAACTAAAAATACAACATGAAATACGGCTGATGAACACTGTCAACAACTAACCACACACAAACACCTAAGCGATAGATGGAATTCGAAGGTTCCCTCTTTTTTATGATTGATGACTATCATCATCACTTTAATTGAAAACATACCGCATCAATTAATCACAATAACAATTATCATATAAATGAGATTCATTATATCGATAACAATCAAAATAAAACGCGATGCGCATTGACGACAATCAATTGATTTCACAAATCAACCTTTATTACCATTATTAATATTACATTTGCTCTCCTAACACCGTCTAGTCGACATTGCAAAACAACTCGATGTGATTCAGTTTTTCAATTCACAGCATTTATGCTTAAACTCTTCAACTGTTTATGAACTCATCTAGCACTGCAATAGTGCACAAATGAATAATGCCCTAAAATCACTGTGACTGAAAGCAAAGGATGATGATTATGAGCACGTTGCATACAATAAAAGCAGCAACGCGACATCAAGTTATCGATCGAAAAAATGAACAGAAATAATAACACTGAACCGTAAAAAGAGATCCACTGAAAACCGATGTGCAGCAATACAAGAACAAGACTATACACAACTTACAAATATGCAAACATAAGAAATCAAAACTGAAATCTTAAACCAACTTTCAAATTTATATTTACGAGCAACACACATTCGCTAAAAAATTGGACGAAAGCAACGAGAAATAACAATGCGTGGCTCATGGATTTCGGATAGAGGAATAATATCAGTGACTGGTGAGAATTAATAGTCGATTGGTGAAGACAGACAGACAGACAGGTGTGTGCGTTCAGTAAGATGATGAGTCAAGCCTTTATCACCTTAACAAACTTTTATCTTTGACTTTTGAACAAAGCAACCTTTGAATGGCCTGGCCGACTAATTATGCTTAGAACTAGAGTAGAGATATGATCAACAAGCAGAAACGGCAAACGCTCATACTTTTATGGCGATTGTGAGGCTACACACAAAGAAACAGGGATGGATAAGAGGACGAAGGATGGAACAAAAATAGAAAGACGCAAAACGATAATATCTTAACATTTTTACAACGTAAGCAAGCGTGTAAGACGACAATGAGTAAAAATAAGATGCGTTTTGATGAAGAGAGAGACGATACAATGAATATATACGGGATGAATGAGGAGGAGTAATGGTAGAATTTCACCTTATTCAATTGTATTACGAACGCAGCTGGTGTCTACTGCTAAAGAGAAGTGAAGTTATCTGTAACTATTCATTAAGTTTTTATCCTATCCGTCTACATAATAGAGTTATGTCGATTCGATGAGTTACACAATGACACCCTGCTACATTATTCACTAGTTCTGAATGCATATCCCAGTTCGTTTGTTGTTGTTTCGTTTGACGGGATAACAGTGAATTATTGCGCTGGTAATGTCTACGTTGATCTAACTGATGTCGAAGTGGATGACGTTGCTGACGGAACACCGAATTTGGTTGTCGTATTCGAGAAGCGTAACGAATCTCCGGATGCTGCTGCTGCAGTTGTTGCAGACGAAGGTGCATTCACACCTGGTCCTCCACTGCTCACGGTCGCATCGAATAATAAGTGTTCATTTGCACTGTTCTGTCCTCCAAACGGATACGGCCTAGAAGCTGTTCGCGCTGATGTCGTTGAGCCAATTAATAGATTCTATCAATGAAAGAGAAACGAAACACTTACAAGTATGCGCTACTAGCTGCATTCGAGAGTGCCGCAGTGAGAAGTTCCATATTCTGCTCGCTGTTCACTGACGAAGAGGACATCTTCAGCGTGCCACCAACGCCGTTCACCACTGGTGATAAGAGACTGCTCGCAGCTGACGGACCATTACCGCATCGGACAGCATTCGATGAGTTCAGAGATTGCACGGCGCCACGAGAATTGCCACTAGGACACATCTTGCAGGCGTCGTTCGATTCGCTCGACAAACGCTGACGTAACTCCACCAGTTCAACGTCTTTTGCTCGTATCTGCTCTAGAATTGCGAACACCACTTTCATTTCATTTCATTAAACATTCAAGTAAATGCAATAGGAATAACATACGTCGCAACATCTCGGTTTGTGATCTCGTTTCTGTGAGTACCCGAAACAGATCCTGCTTGAGACGATTCTCAGCCGATAGCGATTGCTCCAACTGGTGATTTTTATCACGTAATGCCGCTAATGTCGATTGCAAATCCTAAATTGCAATCGCATTACGTTACGATGATGAGCACAATCAGCTAATTTCATAAATAAACCAACAAACTCAGCAAGTTCACCTGTATTTCATTGCTTTCTTTGAATTCTCTCAGCTGTCTCAACTGTTCTTCATAAACACTCGTCAGTTCTTCTTTTGCCTTCAAATCACGGCGTGTCGCACGTATCTCTCTTTCCAGATCAGCTTTTCGTGCCTTACACGCTTCACCACAATCAACACTTCTAAAAAAGTTTCATCGTTCTTTTACCATTAATTCCAATGAATAATCAATTCTCTGTCTTATAATAATAACACTCTGTCTTATAAAAGCAGTTCACTTGATCGACTGTGCCGCAGCAAGTGCACGTGCAGCAGCGTGCTCCTCTTTCAACTTGCTCCGTCGTTCCGCATTCAACTCTTTCTCTAATTCGTTCTTCTTTGCGTGTGCCTCAATCAGTCTCTTTTCCAGCAACTGTATTGAACATTTGTCTTGTTCGCGTGCTTTTAGTAAATTCGACAGCCTAAATAAATACAAATCATAATGAATACAAACCACTCAAACTCAGATCAGTTACGCATTTGGCCATACTTATGATCATTGAAAAATGAATGAACTCACTTGTTCTCAGTCTGTTCCTGTTTCATTTTCAGCTGTGTTAGTTCACCTTTTGTTTGCTTTTCAGCATTTACTGCCTGTTGCAGCATACATCGCAAGTCTGTCTCTTGACTACGTGCTGCTCTTAGTTCTCCTTTCAGAGTCTCCAGTTCCTCAACCGTCCTGAAGTTTGAGCAGAGTTGTGTGTTTTGAGGTAATGAAACAAGAATAGTGAATAACAAAAACGTACACATAGTCATCGTTGGCTTTGTTGGGAATGGACGCAATTGAAGGTTGTGAGCTGGCAACGAATATAGTGTTCGTAACAGAAGTGTTGCCAGTGCTTGTATAGGCGTTGTTTGGTGGAGAAGAAGAAGAAGAAGAAGAAAGGGTGTTATCTTGTGCTGCTGCTGTACCACTATTCAGATTCAAGAGATTATTAGTCGTTAAACATGATGAATTTGTCGACAGTGAGACTAAGGGTTGTGCAGCCGCATTGTTTGCACTCAATACATACTCTGACTGATTATGCATGTTGCGCGCACGACTACGACCAGCTTTGAGACGTGTACAACTACCTTCAAATAACCAATTATTATCTATCATTCATATCCACACATTGGCAATGATCATCCTTATCAGTAAAACTACTGCAGTGAATTGGCATACCTTTGCTCTTCTTAACATTTGTGTTCCTTTGCTGTGGCAGCAACCTTGTGGAGGGTAGAGGAAGATCATCAGGTTGAAAAGAAGTCTCTTCTTGTTCCATCATCTCTTCATCACTGTCAATCTCGTTCGAAGATAAAGAAATGCGATCATCTAATGATGATGACATCGTATCGCCGCTTGAACCCGTCAATACAGATAAAACCATCCAAATCACGTCCCATATCAAGCGCCATAACGACATTCGTGACGTTCCACATGCTGATGCTAAATAACATTCAGTATGAGAATAAGTAAAGCTGCTGACTCTATCATGGTATTACCTGAACTTGCCGTATCATCATCATCATTTATATTCTGATTAGTCGTATCTTTTCGCGACGTAAGGAGTGAACCATTTGCATGCGATGGTATACGTTTCGTATTCAACTGCTTACAACCATTTTGTTTCCATGACGAACTGGTTCTTGAACTTTTTCGTTGTGATGCACCCAATCCACTAGTGGTCGATGACGGTGATGCACAGATTGCCAGACTTGGTAGCAATTCTGTTTCATAATCTTAAAAATCATTTCGATTACTAACAACATATATTTGATGGAAAGAACTGAAATGAGATTGCACACACACATACCGATTGTACTGTCTTGCTCCTGAATAGCAGCACCGTTACATCGCGAATAAACCTTAGGGCCTTCATACACCGAAGGCAGTGCTTCAGCCAGTAATCTGCCGTACACTTCGTTCTCACGAGACACTTCTCGCTGACGTCTTTTGAAACGCCACAAGCTGAAACAATTTTTACGATTCCATAAACAATTCTCAATATAAAAGGATTTATTTGTCGAGAGAACAATGAACAGAAGTCAGCATTCATTAATCACAACGAATCATCAAACAAAAATTTTCAACACTCAATAAGAACGGGAACATTTCAAAAAGAATATGCATAACAATAGAAAACTGACACATCCGTAGTACTGACTCTGCACTGACAGTCAAATGTAATCAATTGATTACAGAAATAATGAAAATGAAGTGAAGTGATGGAGAATATTAAGTGACTGACAAAATGATAACAAGTACTTAGATACTTTCTTAAATTCATTCGAAGTTTAATATTATAACATGGGAAAGAGACGTAGCACTCAGATAAAGACTCGTACCGTAGATTAATGTGACAAATCTTCACTGGGGAAAGAATAATCTCAGTAAGTGTAGCGCTCATCGCAGAGAAATGTTTTCCGGTCTAAAAGTAATTTTTGAGGAAACAAAAAAAAGAAAAACTTGAAACGGTGCTGTGTCTAACTTTTGTTCGCCTCAGCTGCATTGACGCAGGAATTCTGTCATTTCCTTGCTCTCAACCTCAAATGTCGTGCTCTTTTGATCAGAAACAAATCTTGAAAAGTTCATCACAAAGTGTTGAAAGGTCGCGCCAACTACACTGTTCCTTAGCAGGCTTATTGTTAGGTTCAAAAAGGAACAATTTGAAACAGCGATCGCTCAACCTAAGCTGTTTGAGTTGAACTTCTACACAAATTGGCTTCACATCAAGAAACATTTGTTTCTTTTGACGAGGCCTTGGAAATTGCGGAATGCGAATAAACACAACACATACACACAAATAAATCAAAAGCGTTTCGTGAACAACACATAAGAATTTAATATCATGCGCACACTGCGAGACTACAACATACGAACAGAATACGATTCATAAGTTGAATCATCCAAGTTCACCAGTGCACTCATTATGGTCTTTGAATGTAGAAAATTATTCACTCTCTACTCACTAGCATTACAAACGATTCGTCTGTAGGTTAGCAACGAACACCAAACAAGCAAAGCGATAAAACAAACCTCATATAAGTTTTAAGGCCAAAACCGAGTGTCACCACCGGATAACCAATACAATGTGCAGCAAACGGTCGACACAAATCAGACGTCAATGACGACGAATGCGCAAAGGCGGCTGTTAATGCCACACCGAAGCCACCAAGCATACTCGAACTGCTGCTGCTGCTAAATGACCGTGACGTAGAAGAAGCAGAAGAAGGAGAAGAAGAAGAAGACGAAGAAGAAACACATTCTCGTCCAGGTGTTAACGTGCCACCAACTGATGCCAATCCCAATTCGGGTGTTGACACTGCTCCACAAGATGAACTGTCCCGCAGTCCTAACCAACTCGACAACACCCCTCCTCAAATGATCATTACTAGAACAATCACATCCATTAATTTTAATTGTCAGTATTATCATTATCATATACATATCCTAGGTATTACAGCTCAAAAGGATCTCTTTCGACTTGATGACAATCCTTCTTAAACTAAGCTTCAAAAAAATCAGTCTGAGAGGTCGTTGCGTCAAATCGCCTTTTTTCCTAAGATGGCTAAGAAACGAAGTAAATGACGTGACCATTCAACGAATTTCTTTCGTCGACTTTCTTTTACCTAGGTTGTTTCCAATCGAAAAAAATACGATTTTGGACAGTAAGACCAAAAAAATTACTGAATTCGAAATTCGTTTATCAGTGCACGTGAGCGAATGATAAACCGACTGAGCTAACTTTCAAATTAGTTTTCTTTCGGTGAAATTAAATTATTTTTAGACCAGAAGGCATAGTTTTTTGAGCTGGGAGCTGCTTTTTTTAGAGTTTCATTTTCTGTGAACAACAATTTGTCATCCTAAAATATACCTGTTATAACATTCAAAGTCCATGCGAAAGTAGTGCCTCTGAGAAGATAGAGCGGCGAATCGCCTCGATATCTGCAGTTGTACTCGAAAGAAACAAGTGCAACCCAAAGTAGAACTTGCGTTGAGCCTACTCCTCGTTCGGCTGTAAAGCACTAATTACAACTCCAGTCAAGTCGTAAAAAATTAAATACGCAAAACATCAGCTAGATAATAATAATGGTAATACCTGTGTGCCAAACAAATTGCACCCAAACATAAGTGCTCGCAAGAAATAAGAGCAGTTGCACCGGTAAGAGCACAAAGCATATTAGATCAGTTGTAGCTGTTGCACATACAAAAAATGCTGAGAATGCCTGAAAATGTATGCTAAACAACTGCATGATTAAGCACTCGATCAATATTCATTCAAACACATCAAAAACGAAACTTAAACCGTTAGTTATGCTTGATGAAGATATTCAAAAAATGAAAAAATAAAATAAAACTCACAGAATACTGGAGCGAGCTGACAAGACCCTGAAATCGAAATGAATCGTAGCAATTGCGAATGAGTAACCACACCGGGTAAAGTAGCTCAAAGCGAAAGCCAATCAGAAGATCAAGCGCGATACATACCAGCCATAACACGACAAGTTTCACGTATGCGAACCCGCTCAAATACCTTTAAAAAATATATATATTCACTGTTCACCGACTGGCTTCAAAATAAGTTGAAAATCGGAAAACTACCAAGAAAAGCCAATACTAACCCACAACACATCGTTTCGGCAATACGACTACGATTCTTCATATTTCGACGCAATTTGGGCACATCTATTGAACGTGTACTCCTTTTCATCATATTTGTCGTTAAAAAATTCCTTTCGAGCGCACACCTAATATAATATACTGAAAATAGTACCACTTAATTGGCTCACTGAATGTGCTAACCGTTGAGCAGTACATAAACGACGCACATTTCGGAATCTATTTTCAGAGGATCTTCACATAAAATGTACTTGTTGCATTCGGTTATAGAGCTTTCATTTTAATCGCTTTCCTGAAATGAAAATTGAACTGCTTCAATCAAAAAGAACATGTGGCACGTGCCCGATGTATGTCACGTGCACGAGTGCACTGACCAACTGCACACTTGCATACACTTCCATGAGCACACAGTTCGAATCACATTACTTCACTCAGTCAGCCATTAATCGATGACTGGTCAGTTAGTGTCAACGCAACCAAGCACAGAATTGTCAAGGCGTGGTTTGATGTCGTTACCACAGTGAGACCGTAACAGCCTGATGGAATAAACTACTGCATCTGATAAGTACGTGAGACAATTCGTGTTAAATGAAATTTATATGAAAGTAACAAAGTGCACTTGAGATGTAGTAAGGCAGTCAGCAATCGTCGCTTCTATTGAAATGATCATACCATACGGTTTATGAAATTTGGTGATAAGCAGTAAAAAAAAAGAGAAAAAGCCCAAAATCACTGAGATAAGCTAAGAAAGATAAGCCTTCTTCAAGCTTAGATATGATGCAAGCGTAGAAATCAGCCCGCAACGGCACACTACTCAGTGCGTTTGTCTGTCTATTTGTAAATTTTTCACTTTCATCTCCTCAACTTCTCTTCATCGTTCATTTTGTCTCGCTGAACGAATATCCCCTTCTCCATCCACCCATCCAACAATACCTTCTATCAATCTGTGCATTCCTATCGTCTCCCAGAAACACGTCTTCTCTTGACTCTCATCAGAATTCACTTCAACTCTCTATCATACTATACAACTAGACATGATCATCTATTGACGTCTTCAAAAATCTTTCTCAATATGAAATAGCTCTCAGACACTGCGCTGAATAAATTTATCACCAACAAGTAGAGAGCTGTGTTCCAGTCAAATTTTCGGGCTATGGTTTACAAGTTGACCTCGAAGGTCCGCCTTGGATATTTTTACCTTCAATCTTCAATACAGAGCAACAATAAAGCAGTTATCAGAGAAGAATTGAAAGCCAACCTAACTACTTCTAGCTTAACTAGGATCATACGGGTTTCTTATATAAACTATTCATGACCCCATTTCAATGGTTATTCGCTTAATACAACACCTCTTGAACAATATACGTACCAAAATCTGATAAGCGCAAAATCAAATACAATAACTGATCAAGTCCTGACCGATTTGTTGGTTCATGACGTCTCTTCCTTTATCTTAAATTCATCCTGACTGAGAATGATGAAAAAGAATGAATATGAAAAGATGAGTAGTTGAAAAGAGTGGTAGAGTCTGATAGAGAATCAAATTAGAACAATACATGATGAAAATACGAGAATTTGTTAATGATGAGGATAGTGATTAATTTATGATAGTGGCTGTATAATATTCTCGGTATCGAATTACGTCTAGTGAACAGCGCACGCTTCTTAACGTTACCATGGCATCTAATACACTTATCAGAACTGATTCATGCAATAAGATGGCGCAGCTTTACATAGTCCTCTTGTAACATAATAATACATCTGTGTATGTTGGTTTGCTTTCTAAACTCAGTCTAACTCAAGTAGACTTATCAATTAAGTGTTAAGCACCTGAGCAATCTCATAACGAAAGTCGGCGATTAGAATATCAAACAGCATTATAACTAATACGTACCATCATTACATTCACCGTAAATAGAAAACTGAGTTTTTGATATCACTTAATTAAACGTTTCTGAACGAATCCATACACTGATTCAGAGATGCGCATTTAGTGTTTCGCATGAGAAGACGAATGCGAGTTGATTATTCAGTCATCAAATTTCAGATCTCTAGCAGCTGTGAGTGGTATTTCAGTGGATCAATCATTTTAGCTATATCACACCCTGTTTATTGGATCGTATCTGCTCGTTCAGACACGTTCTATTGCGCGTAAGATTGAGTTTGATGAACCGAATATAAAACGATTTGCAACGCAAAACACTGCTTTATTATTACCAATCAATCATTAATCAGCTAAAATTCACTGAAAATAATCAAATTTATCAATTCATCCTAATCAGTGCTGCGTTTGTCTACACGCATCATCTAACAACGCATTATCCACCAAGCAAGTTCAAATCATTCCAATAATATTCGACAGTGATTTAACCATTAACCATTTATTAACCGTCAAATTCATTTCAGTTCTCTTTAAAATAACAAAAGAGAATAAGCGCAAATTTAAACAGAACAAAGAACGAAAAATACAAAAATCATTGATGAAATAAATCGTTCGTTGCAATTACATTAAGCAATAAACGCACCTATAAACTATCATTACATCAGAACACTATTATCGAAAGCGATTATCTTTCAGAAAAACCATTTTCGACTTGAACCAGCGAAGACAGTTAGTTTCTTATGATGCACTGCATCTTCTAGATGGACACAAAGCGAAATAAATTATATTTTCATTTAACTTGATCAAAACCAACGCATCAATAATAATCATCCATCCGTCCCAATGAATCTGCTCAGTGCTGGAGTTGACTAAGTGCAAATGGAAGAATTATTTTACGTATAAAAATTAGCACAGTAAACAATTTCGAAATGAATTACGATAAAATTCATATCGCCAATAAATTTCAGAAACGTATTTTTACAGCTTGATCATGTAAGAATAAAAACAAGAAAGCAAACAATAGTAAGCTCGTTAAGAGCCATGTTTACATGTGGCAGCAGCGGCGGAAAGAAATAATTTTGAACTCAATTTCAACTCAAAATCTCAAATAACCTCATGACACAATCGATCTACCAATCAATGAACGTTTTTTTCAACTAACGCCAACATAACTCCCACGTGATCAAAATATTTATGAAGTTTTACTTTCGATATTGATCAACATTGCGACAATGCTGTTATGAAGTTATTATTATAATCATTAGAAAGACGACACTGTTTTGAGGCACTTCTGCAAAAGTTTTGTTTCGTTTTGTTCAATTTGAACTCAGAGTTCATGTTGGTGGCGTTGCTCTTCGAATCAAAACTTGATATTATCAATTTCGTCTCCAATGACCATTCTACAATTCATCTAGTTGACTTTCGGCTTTTCGGTATTAGCACCACCTTTCTGGACCCTTCTCGCCTTGATGAACAACGTCACAGCTACGATCAGTATCAATCCACCAACACCAATCACAGACAATGCTTGACTATCATCCTGCAACATCATAATTCAGCACTCGCACATGTTTTATGAGTATGATGCCCAGATATCTTTTAAAGCTGACCTCTCAAAACATGAAACAAAAAACACGCTGTCTCCGTAGAACATATATTTGAAAGATGAAATCTTGCGTTTGAACTTCGTTCTTGACGGCCGCAGGCCTAAACTTAGGCTCAGGCCGACGTTTAGACGTAGGTCTGGGCTTTAAGCCTCGGCTGAAAAGTGTCAGCTTCAACCTATGCGAAACACTCAGGTTTCCTTGGTTTTTTTGCCATAGAAGGATTGATCCTGAACAGGGAGAAATCTCACTATAAGCTCTAAATACCAGCCCGAGCCTCAGCCTCAGCCTAAGCATAAACATAAGCATCAGCCTAAGCATTAGACTCAGTCCCAGCCTAGGTCTGCACGAGTCAAAAACCAAATGTAAGCACAAGTTTTAATACTTTAAGTTTGTTTGTGTGCAGTCTTAATTCATCTTTGAGGGACGTCTAGGCATGCTTTAATCCTACGCATACACCTGTCTCCGAGTACTTGCAGGGCATTTATGATGAACCAAACACAGATTGCTCAACATCATCTATAGGATAAATGGCTAAATTAAAGAGTACCCACCAAAACATCCAGAATACGTTCTTTGACATGCTCGTAGAAGTGCTCAAGCGCAGTTGGTGGTTCGGGAATACGATGTCCTCGTTGCTCTTTGAATTTGTGCAATGCGAATGCACTCAAACTACGGATATCCTTTGCAGCATCCTTGTATCGATACATTTTACCGCGATGAAAACTGAACAATAATCACTCTAAAGTTTGTGACACTACCAAGCATTTCAAAAAGCATCTGCATCCAAACAAACTAACAGTAAAAATGTGGGACACTGTGCATCATCGAGTCGAAATCTTTCCGTAACATCATCACTAATCGATGTGTCCACTTTACCAACATGAACAATACCACGCAATCTAAAAGTGCATCACCATTCAATCAAATCAAATGTTCATTAAATTAATAGAATAATAAACTTACTTGTGAGCAACTGTCTCCCACGATGAAACGAACGCATTGCAGTCTGGTTCATCAGCATTGTAACTCAAAAAAATTGAATGAACATATACAATGGCAAGATTGCATGAAATCTCGCTTATGGAACTGTCTTCATTGTTCAATCACTAAATTTCCTCATCGAACTATTTCCTGGCTTCTATTTCAGTGCAACTGATTCAATGCAAATCGCTCTTTCTCTCAACATTCAGCAGTTCACGCATACTTTTCATTTGTAGTGATCAAACACTGCTTATGGTTCGATAAATCGAACAACTTACAACATCACAAACCAATCGAGCGCCCCTTCGTCAGGTGAATAACTGTCGGTCTTATCCTCAAAATTGTCATCCGTTAAATCCCACGTAACAACCTCATCATGTGAACGCAACCACCTCAACACCACTTCAGAATCCTTGAAATCACCTTAAACAAACACGTTTTGTAATTCGGTTATCAATTCAGAATGATTTTGAAGAAGTGGTAAGGAAAACGAACCATCATAAGTAATCGGATTCCTACGGCGGAAATAAACCAGTGACGGAAAAGTTGTAACTCCCAATTCGCGCGCCACACTTCTGTCATCCGTTTTTACAACCTTAATTGTTTTAGCGCCTTTCACTTCACACAGTAATAATAGAAACTGAGCTCTCGCTCTGGTACGGATGAATTTCTGAGCAACATAACTAGCAGAATTTATTTGGATAGCAAATTTAAAGATGGAGGAGATATACTCACTTCAATATAGCCAGTCGCTTCGATATCGTCGTCAATTTCCTCGACCTCAGAAAGTGCATCACCGCAGCCAGGACATTTGGCACGTCCGTCATCTTCAAATAACAAATATAGTTTGCTTGACACTATTCGTTTCGTTTCAATATGAGACGCAAAAGGATCGAGTGAAGAAGAGAATGGCACGAACAAAAGAATATGACAAGATTTTTGGTCGCATCTCTGAGTATTTCATCGATTTTATCCTCGTCAACATCTTCGATCGTATTGTCTTCATCTCTTTTCGAGCCACCAGACACCACTGCTGCTGGTTCAGATGATGAATCAACCTTCTGTAATTTATCAGTACTCCGTTTCGTATTCAGTTGAAAAGTGACTGAAGAAGACTGACCTGTTTGCAAATAACCAAGCAAGTTAGAACGCTTTTCAATTAAGCACGGTTGTAAGTCAGAATATTTGATTGGTTTTACATTTGATCGCATGATCATCATGAATCACAACACTGATCACTTTCGAACAAAAACACGAGAAAATGACCAACTTTTTGCTTGGAAGAGTACTTGTTCGATTGCACTGGTGGAGTTCGCTCGGATTCATCAACGTTTGAGTGCTTGGAGGAAGTCTTTTTCCTTGCTTCGCTACTGGAATATAGCAGTAGAAGCATGAACAGAATGACGATACGCATTGATGGTTGTTTGTAGATTGCAACTGATAAGAGTTAATTGTCGTGCTGTTGCTGCTGCTGCTGCTGCTGCTAGGAAATGTTGACGGTCTTCTAGAAAATATCGATGACAGCGACAGTATAATAATGAGTCGTAAATGAACGGAAAAGAAGATATAAATAATGAATGCAGTATTGAGATGAGTTGGTATTGAATATAGCAGCGAGCGATCGAACTGAATTGAGTTGGTGTTGGCTAGCAGCTATTGTTGTTGCTTGTGGTTGGGCTGCCTGCTAGCTTGAACTTGTGCAGTTGACTGCTTCCTTCACTGCTCAATTCAAAATGACAAGCAGTTGAGTAGAGAAGATTAGCTAGCTTGCTTCGTTCAGAGTATTCTTTTCTCTGGATGATGGTTAGTTGGATGCAGGTATGGATATAGCAGTTTGTTTCTTTATTATATACACACAGCTAGTTAGATATCATACTTAAGCATACGAGATGTTATGTTCATGTGTGTGTGTGTTTGCAAGAGCAAATTTGAGTGTGGGCGCCGTTGCAGATGAGGCTAACAACAGTATTTCGTTGGCCAACAATCTCGGTGAGCCCTATCATTCTTACATTACAACTTCACACTCGTACCTACAAAACATTCTCGTTGTGTCATCGTAATTTTCTTTTGATGACTTTATTCGATTAATTCTACTCATTCCGTTGATCAAATTCAATTTCAAGATACATCAATTTATTCTTCACTTCATCAACAATTCTTTCTCTTATAGTTTTGAGTCAACCATCCTGACCAGTTCAACTCATCGACATATTTTATCAATCTCTATTCATCAATCTATCAAGCGAATCAAACCAAAATCATCTTTCTTCTCTTCATTATCAAAACAACATTGCAAAGTTACTAAGAAAGGCAGATTCCTCATGTGTACTTGTAACCAGCTGTTGATCAAAAGTGTTGTTCATTCACTGGTCCAGTTGATATGGTATTTATTCGAATTAACAGACAGCAGTATATTAATGACTGAAGCGAGTATTGGTTAGGAGAAACGAAATTCTATCATAGGTGATCGGTGTCGTGAGAGAACACGAGGCAGGATAAAATATATGAATGAGGAAATGAATGCAATTGTGCATAACAACATAAATTAGTAACCAACTGAAGAAGTTTTTTGAAAGCAGCATGATTCAATTTAAAATATATTTTAAGAAAGGCACCAATGAACTTATCACAGCAATTACAATAGTGATCATATCAATAACAAGTAAATAAAAATGATGTTGTATTTATTTACTATCAAGAAGTTTAACGGACTCGTTCAACCAACTCATAATGGCATTAATGGCTGCCATAACGGCCGGTGATCCAAAGCCATGAGTGACCTGCAATAATGATGAATTATGATGATAGGCAGCACTAGGGGAGAATAGAGAAATACCATTGAGAAGTGCGTGAGTCGACTCTGAATGGATGGTTCGAGTACAGGAGGTGGTCTTGAGGAGCACAGCGGACTGCGATCATTACTGAGCAGTTCCTTGAGTTCGTTGAGCATCGCTTTTGTAGCCAAAATCATATTCTTACGACGTTGCATCTCAACAGCTTCCATAGAACAGTTCGTTCGAGTCAAGTACTCGGCCACTGCACGTGCGGGAAATTCATTCTCACATACCGCGTTGAAATCCTTTGCTAGATGCATCGCTTCGACTAAAGTTCAATCACTTCTTCAGTACTTATTATATGTGGTATTCGTCATGCAGTCAATTCAGTCAGCTCTTACTTACATTCGACGAGCGCAGTTAACGAATTTACATTTGTTGCCTTCCGCCTACCAGCCGGCAGCTGCAAACCAACTCGTTTCAGTTGATCCCTCAACGATTTTCCACCATCTTTTGATTTTGCTCTTAAATTTACATTCCCATATATGCTGTTCAAAATTATGATGATCAATCAGAAGTGAAAAAATAAAAATGCAAAAACCTTCGAAGAATACCGCCAAGAACTGATGCATTCAAGCATTCCGGTGGTGATAAGCGTCTATTGATTTCACCAACGGTTACTTTGTATTTTGCTGCACTACTCAACAGACTCAGTCGACCTAAAAGCTAGGAGCATAGATCGCAGTTGCATGTCAATCGGTGAGGAAAGAAATGATTGATAATAGTGATGAGAATAAAGAAATGAACCGAGAACGAAACACCAACCGGGAACCGAGCAAAATACTTCGAGAAAGTTGACAGTGTGCGGAGTCTGGTTCTGATGTACCAGCTGGTTATTCAGTGAACATGACGAAGCATTTATTGACGTTTTCTGGCGAGAACTTATCGCTGAAAAAATCATATTTCCAATTCAATTTGACAAACCATCTAAAATAAAAAATATGCATCAAATGAAATGATAT